AACAGAGCGTGAAGTACCCGATTTCTCTTTTGTTCTTAAAGTAATCTTGGGCCGAAGTAAAGGACTATCCGTTCACTTGTGTTAATTTGAAAAACGTTAACAAAACTATGGGTAAAAAGAAAATATTCAAAAATCAATGTAAAATAAGGCAATGACGTCATCGTGACGTCGTTCATTAACTATAAATCTTGCGTCAGGGTCTTTGTTGGCTATCACTTTAAAACTTTGATGACAATTGCGGATCGCCAAGTTACCAAAAACGTGTACAAAGTCGATGGGCTGAAAAAAACATTAGAAAATCAATAATAAATCACTTGATGACGTCATTCTTTTATGACATCTATGCATAAGGGTCCTTCATTGGTACAAGTTTGATGATGATCCGAAGTTGTTCAGGGGGCTAAAGTTGTCGGCAGAAGAAATGTACACAAAACAAATGGGCTTTTGAGCAGAAGAAAAGTTGCGAAAAAGCCAAACAGAGAAGAGAAGTAATGCCTTTTTTGCAATTTTGAAAAAAGAGAAAAACAGAACAAAAAGAATGTCTTTTTCGCAAAAAGCCAAAAATCTTGACAAAAAGGATGGCTTTTTTGCATTTTGGAACAGAACATACATGTCTGGCTTTTTGCATTTCTAAGCTTTGAAATAAACAATTCCTAGCCATGTTTGCGTAACTGCAAAGTTTTAACCCAATCAAACGAGCACTTCAGGAGATATATATATATAACACTTTTAATGTCATGTAACTTGTAACCTGATGACGTCATCATTTCATGAAGTCAATTTTAATGTCATGTGACTTATAACCTGATGACGTCATCAAGAAGTCAATTTTTGTCTACATGGAACCGGTATCACACATCCCCTTCTAGACATCTGCAAGGTTTCATCCCAATGGGACATGTAGTTCAGGAAATCCAGGGCTTTAAATGATGAATTTCAATGTCACGCTATTTACGTGTACATCTATCAATTACGAACACAATTGTACATTATGATCACTATAATACCTTCTCCCGTCTAGGAGTATCTCCAGCAAGATTTCAGACACAAACAATACTTCTTGTCCTGTTGAATATTTAATGAATGATTAACCTTTTGAATCATAAGATTTTTGTTACTGTTCAATTGAATCTGCTTAACCCAAGCCTCTGAAGTGCAATTTTTCTCATTTAAACAAAAGAAAATTCTCCCTTCCTTTTACATGTATGCATTCAATTTTCAGCAAATTAAACATACAAAAAAGTGAGAGAAAAAGTAAAGTTTTGTCTATATTTTTGGCTCAGGTGTTTTTTGACAAACCATTCAAAAATGTCTAGTGCAAATTAGAATCTGGCCAAAATTTCTTTTCTAAAAGTTTCTGAGAACAAAATCTGCATAACGAGAAGCTTACATTCTACCTTTCAAACAAAACTTGACTCAGATAGTGGGCCTACTGCTGAAGAACAAGATAAAAAGCATTTCGGAAAGTTACTGTAGAAAGACACTAGAGTGGGAAAATTTGGATTTGCTTTTATGATTTGATTTGATTTTTTTTATTTCTGATTAAATTAAATTAAATTATATTAAATTAATTTAAATTAAATTATATTGAATTAAAGTAAATAGAATTAAATTAAAGTAAATAAAATTAAATTAAAGTATATAAAATAAAATAAAATAAAATAAAATAAAATAAAATAAAATAAAATAAAATAAAATAAAATAAAATAAAATAAAATAAAATAAAATAAAATAAAATAAAATAAAATTTAATTTAATTTAATTTAATTTAATTTAATTTAAAATTTAATTTAATTTAATTTAATCTAATTTAATCTAATTTCATTTACTGTAATTTGATTTTATTTACTTTAATTTAATTCTATTTACTTTACTTTAATTTAATATAATATAATTTCATTTCATCTGTATGTGTAATTATGCAAAACAAAACCCAAGTAATTTCACAACCAAACTGAAAAAGTAAGACAATTATTACACGTTTGAATATAATAGCATCTGGAAGATAAAATCAGACAGTCTAAAGCCTATTTGGGTTTTGTGCTTGCTGACGTAATCAACATTGAATTCATTTGTTTCCAAAATGTATTGGAAAATCTTGCCCAGATTGACAAGAGGCCTCTTGGTGACATCTTCAGAGCATCTGTCCTCAGGGACGCATAGTGGATCTGGGAGACCTTTCAAGCCTTCTCAATATTGACGCTGCAGTTTTCTTGGTGTGCTTCTTCCGACACTTTAAACAGGTTCCTTATTCTCACATGGAACAAAAGCCCTTGTAACAAGAATCTGCTTTGAGCCCCTGGAACAGCATTGTCAGGCCGACAGAAAGTCCACCAGCTCCTTTTTTGTCATCCTTAAGAGATCTTCTAACCCTTTTATGTTTCTGTATCCATATTCTGCACACACACAAAATTAAATTTTGAGATAAAATCGATCCAATTTACAGTATGTCTTATCTTCAGTTGATGAAAGGAAAGCAAAATTTATCATTAGTTTGGAAAGGACACACATACATGTACAGGTAAGACTAATCTTCTAAATCTGTAGTCCATAAGTTGTTCCTTGACACAACCTTGCTCATAAGCGGATATTTTCTGTTCACTTTAATCCTTCCAGCACATACTGCAGTGACTTCACTGTATAATGGGCTTTATATGACCTTTATTGTTATTAATATCATTTTTACCTTTATGCTCTTTTGAGGTTCTAAACTAAAATATTTTAGACCTTGGCTATAGTTGTTAATATATTTTTACAGTGATAAAAGTTTGAAGTAGGCTAACATCCATGGATATTCCCATTAATCTACATTTATCAAATCAGTAAAACCAACATCAAGCTTAAGCAAAAGTCTATGGAGACCATTACTCTATACAAATATGTTAAACCGAGACAAAATAAGGAATATTCACAGACAGTATTACCACAAATGTTAAATTAGGACCACCCCATACAAATTTAAGTCAAAAGTGATTAACAACAGGGGTGGGTCTTCAAGTTTGCCAGCACCGCGCACGTTGCAGAACCCTTGTAGGCTTACTTCTGAACGACATGTAAATTATTGCAAATAGTCATTACTTACGAAATATTCATTACTTACAGTGACGACATTGGTGGCCATCACTAGTGTTGTTGCCGTGCGGACCCAGACGAACTTATCGATCTCCGTAAGCGAGATCATGTGTGCTAACATTTCAAGCATGCCGTGCAGGGCGTATTTTGTCCCGTGAACAAGATGGCGCATACCATCATGAAAGTGCTTATTTACTAAATTCATTAAACTCAATTCTACCTTGTACTGAATTTAGGAGTGTATTGTGTGGCGGGGTATTCTGCAATTACTCCGAGCATGACAGGGGTCAAAACTAACGGTGGTCCACTGGCCCGGGGCCACCAAAAAAATTCATTGGGCCACTGCATTCTCCCAAAACGATGGCCCGGCGGGACAGTGGTCATTTGAGAAACATTGCCACATTTTCAAAATTTCATCTGTTCACTGCACAGTCGTGCATACAGCTCATACACATACGGCAGGCACCTGCCCTGGTATGTTGGCTGGTATTATTTTCTAACAATGCAAGTTTGACATTATTTCCCATGGCCACAAATGAAACCTTTACAGGTCGTGTCGCATGAAGGCGGATCGTTAAGTACAAGCAACATACAGTAACCTCGAATTACATTTGTGAACACAAAAATACCTATATACAGTCAAACAAGCTTAATACGAGCTAGAAGGGACTCTCGCAAAAACCTTGTCTTACGGTAAAACCTTGTATTACATGTTGAAACTTGTCCCATTCATAGAGCGCAAGCCTGGCGTCATGCATCAGCAAGCATTGTTATGCACTACTAAGTACATGTACTACAGGCCAACATGTACCGTACGATACAGTTTATATGCAATGGATTAGTATTTGATGTACAACCTTTAACTTGTTAATAAATTTTAAATAATATTAATAAATATGATTCGAATTATGAAGGAATTACTTACTGGGATTAAGCTTTTGAAGACGCTTTTCAATTGTACTCATAATCATATTAAAAATGCCATGGACAACGGTTTTTGACGCTGCCGGCTAGGCAAAAGTGCTCGTCTTGTCTGTGTTTTCGTCTTAGCACAGCTCATATTAAGTAAGGTTTCTCTCGTAGCAATGTGTACATTTGAAAGGGGCTGAAGAAATATGCTCGTCTTAAGTGCGATCTCTCATGCGAAGGAGAACCCATGAAGCCTTGCTTCTGTACATCGAGCAATAATGCATGCATGTTTTCACCACTGCGATAGCGACATGCGAAGGGAACTTGTGAAAATAATGGAAGAATGTAAGCAGGCAAAAAAAATATAAAAGCGTTTAGATGTGAAAATATTGTTGACAGGTGTTTTGTGAATGCGGGAAAGACAGAATTTGTTTTTCCTTTTTTTCTAGGGTCGGTCGCGTAACCAGAAGCCGAACTAGTTTTTTGGCCTTAAAAAGTGCATTTAAGTCCAGCCAGGCTGGCCACCAAGCTGTTTTGGTAGAGAAGTTCGACTGATGCAAATGGGCATGTGTGGGGTGCCTGATCAATTTTATAGATGTACATGATGTATAATGTACTCAACCTGGGCAACCAAATTTTCACAAGGGCCATTGTGGTGCACTTCCCCAATGGCCCTGCGGGCCACCAAGAGATTGAAGGTAACTTCAACCCCCTGCATGTCATAGTCATCTGCCAAGGTGAATCCAAAAGTTAAAATGTAGGTCTCCCTTCTATGATAGGGACAGGATCCCCTATACAATCCCCAAACACACTGAAAATAAACATTCTGACATTGTGCATGTCAGTCATGCTACCATCGACTACACTGTTCTAGACGTGGGCTAACGTGGGCCCTACAAATGAAAAGTAATAGGCCCTATATCAGTTATAAGTGAACACATGGAGGCCAACATGTGCCTACATTGTTACTTCAGCGTATTTGGAAAGAATGAAATGTGGTGAACGATGTTATCACTTACATCACAGAAGATAGACGTACATCATCGCATGCATGTATGGCAATGATGACACGGCTGTTAATTTATATACGGTAACGTTAACTACATGTACTGTACATGTAATGTACATGTACATGACTGTACTGGTGTACAGTTTCAGTGCACGTACGGGACCAACGATGAGCGTGGTTCCCATCTCTTGATCAAACGCACCTCATCAGTTGCTCTATATATATACACCAAGTACGCGCCCATAGAAAACAATGCAAAATCAGATCGAAATAGCGCCGCCTGTTGACTCTCCGGAAGAGATAAACCTCCGTATTTTTTTCGGCGGAAATTCAAGATTATGGAAAGTTCACTTTTCGTTTTAACGTTATCGGGGTTCGGTCTCCCCCCAAATCGTAGTAAAAGTATGCACTCAGCTCTGAATGTAGCCGCCCGCCTCTATCCAAACTGGGCCCACTGGTTGGTATGGAATTCCATATCTGCCGCCGTGCGTCGCCCGTCGTCCGTTTTTTTTTTTGTCTCGGTTGAGAAGTGGTATTTTTTAACTTGGACCCTTGATCGTTTCACATGTCCATGTACTTGTTCGATCGGTCCAACAGTGCCTGACTCTCATTTTAGCAGCAGAACTAGAAGATGTATTCGTTTTTGCAGTTGCGCTGAACTCCACTTGAAAGAAAAATAATATCCTTTCATTTTTAAAGACTGACATCGGTAAACTGACGTGTATATGAAATAATACCAATTTTGTTACATCGATAACTTAGTTACTCTAGACGTAACTTTACTCGTTAATGGCCTGACGTTAGGTCTATAGTCTAAGTAATATTTCTGTCTGTCCCTGCACGATATCTTACAGAATTGAATGTAAATACAAACTTATTTACAATACTTGATCCCTTAATAGTTTTCACAACAGACGAACTGATTCAACATCATCCTTTTGAGGGCGGGTATACCTATGATGAAATCTGCTGTATACTTCAAATTAGACACGACTTGAGTTGCAGGTAGGCTCATAGAAGTCTTTCAAACAATAACGTTACTTGTTAGCTCTATAAATNAAGACGAGTGGTAATTGCCCCCTAACAATACATTTATTAAACAGTTTGTTATCCATAGCACTGTTTGGTATTTCTGGATTTCAAGGTGAAATTGAGAGGACAAACTGGAATATCCGTATCGGTTGGCAGATTTCTTTCTGGAATTTGATGAAAACAAGTCGGCACATTTTTAGAGTATGCAAATTAGAATTAGACTGTGGATAAGTTGGCCTGAACATTTTTACTGAAAATGTTTTCCCCAAAAAACACTTGGTTGAATTCTCAGAAAGGCAACAATTTTCTTGTCAAGGGGCAGGGGTAGTCTAGCATTATTGACATTAATTATGGGACTAATATTTGCTTTGCAGGTGGGATTTGTACTTGCCTATTAGGAAAAGATCCTTAAAAGTGAATGGAATCATCACATTGTCATATGTTAAACCCCGGCTTTTACAGGCCCTATGCAACCGTTTGTGATGGACGACGAGCGACGCACGACGGACGACGGGCGACGGAAAATGGCATGTTTGGAACTGGTAAATGGCAGAATTGGGACACAACAAAAAGCAAATGGCGACGGACGACTGGCAACCGTACGGCAGATATGGAATTCCATAGGTTGGGGCTTTTTGTGAAAGAAATACCCTTATCCGGACACTACCAGTCCCAAATTCGTGATTTACAGAAATATCTCTATGATCCCTGCTGATTGTGGAATGTCTCATTGTACAAACCCGGCGGAATCACAAAATCTTAATGAGTTCGCGCGCAGAAATCCAATAATTTGGTGGAATGCACCCAGAGGGTTCAATCCCCTCCTTCCTCCCGGTGATCCTATGGACCTTTTCACGCACGTGACTAAATGTAAACAATACCACCACGTGTAGACCGCGCCACGAACGTGCACCGCTTTGTTGGGAGTCAGTGCATATGCACAATCGATACTTTACTGTGAATTTCGAGGCAGGCGACATCGGACATCGTTCCAACACTTCTTTTCTCAGATGGAGGCTATTGCTTTTTTTTTTTAACAAAATACAAACAAATGAAGTTCACATAGATAAACCAGATAATTAAAGATTGATCAGAAAACATTAAATCACCGTATTATAATACAAATGTGAAACAAATTCTGAAAGTGATTAAAAAAATAAACACTGTCAGATTTGAAAGGAAATACGTCCACCGTCCTTCCTGATGATACGCTCCCGCAAATTGTTCCCCTATATACACGTACATGTATCTTATAGTGTACATGTACACGCTACTACAGACACCACTTCCACGTATGCTCACTCCATGCCCTTGTGCACGCACCACTTAGTTCAGAGCAAGCGCATCCGTACTCGATCACTTTACTGTGGAATTCGAGGCAGGCGACGTCAAATATCGTTCCTACATTTCTTTTCGCGGATGCAGATCATAAATATTTCTTACAAAACACAAACAAATAAAGTTCACGAAGATAACCTGATAACTAAAAATGGACTAGACAACATTAAACCACAGTGACCGCATTATATGAACCCAGTTGCACAAAATTTGAAACAAGTTTTGAAAAAGTTATTTTTACAAAAAATAAACACAATCAGATTGGAAAGAAAATAAACGGTCTTTTCCATTTTAAAACAACTTCTCCAGTTTATCCAAACAAACAAAATAAAGTGCCGTGTGTATTAAGGTCTAATAAAAACATCTATAGTATTTTCAAGTTATTGCCAATTTAATATCTAGCACGAGAATCATTTGTCCGTAGTAGTTACGTGCGTTGATGGAGTACATGCATGCACAGTACATGTACACGAACTCGCACATGTGCACACGTAAACCATGGCCGACCAGTCGACAGAGAGCCAAAATTGAAACTGACCAAACTAACAAAAGACAATTCGCTACAGCTTAAACATAACATGGTAACCTTTTTCAAACACTCTTTCACTAACAGTAGGGATAGGACAGTTCTAGCGCACCTCCCCTTTCACCCCGTTTCTCTCTTTCCACCACCCGCGCCGGGGTTTCCCACTTCACTTACCTTGACCTTTCCACCCCGGCGCACTTTTTTGTAAACAACTCGCGACGTGCGCCGGCCTGCACAGACCTCACATCATAAGACCCCCCCCCCCGCCCCCTTTCCTTTCGTATACTATATACCCAAAATCCTGTACGGCACGCCGTGGTATAGGATGATTTTTTTTTTGCCCAAATATTCCAGCGGACTACAAATATTACTGTCGACTACAAATATTCGAGCCGACTACAAATATTCGAGCCGACTACAAATATTCGTGCCGACTACAAATATTCGTGCCGACTACAAATATTCCAGCGGACTACAAATATTCCCGCCTACTACAAATATTCGAGCCGACTACAAATATTCTAGCCGACAACAAAAATTCTAGCCGACTACAAATATTCCAGGAGACTACAAATATTTGAGCCTCCCCAGTTTTTTTTTTGCCCACTATACATGAAAGCAGTGGACCACATCTATATGGTATACCGCTTTGTAAAATTATAATTACTACATAGTAGAAGAAGATGAAATCCAATCCGATAGAAACAATCTGCCTACAAAAACTAGGCCTGCGCTTCCAAAAACGCATCGGTCCCGCTTTGTTTTTGTCCAACGCGTACCAGAGCAATTTGCTCTGCAACGTCTCCACCTTGGACTAAGTTTCAAATTGCCGAGACCGACCGAAAGATCTAGAGCCTATCCAAAACGAGTTTGTCGACGATATATAATGTTTTTGGTTTTGTATCCCGAAAGGCGATTCTGGATGTTAAAGGGCAGCTGCACCTGTTGCAAAGTGAAGAAAATTCCCACGCAAAATGTATCGTCAAAACAATTTCACTCGCTTTCCAACAAGTCTACGAAACATTTTGCTCCGGCAAATTTTGCTCTACATATGGCGCACGCGGACAGCGACTGCAAAATCGGAAAACGATCCGCAACAACGGCAAATACCGAGCGCTGGTGTAAAAATGGCAGAAACTACAAAAACAAAAAGGCAAAGATAGACGTATCTGAAATACCTATCGAAAAAATCGCTGATAAACTACATATAGTAGAAAATTTGCTCTCTCCCCACGGGATAGGCTTCTGTAGCATCGACTATACCCAGGATTTTGCATGCACGTTTGACCCCGAGGTACTGGAGCGCTGTATTGCCAAGAAAGAATACCGAATAGAAGGCGATCGTCTGTATCTACAACGTCAGAAAAACACAGGCCGAAATTGTCTGTCTTGGATAGAGCAAAAAGACTGGGAAGAAAAACGAACCAAAATATACAACAAGGTGGTTTCCAATATCGAAGCTGGTGACGTTTGAAAGCAGTTTGGGACGTATTTAGTAGACATCGTTTCTTGTCGAAATAGGCACTTGCGCAAAACATTTTCGGATCCCAGAGCGATAGCCCACGGTTGTACGAGGATCAAAGTGTCGGTGCGGAATCCAGATTTGAGGAAAATTGGCGAGCAGTGCCAAACGCGAGATCGAGCAGGTTTGTGAAATGTTGGGAAAAGGGTCGGAAAAAAAGGAAAGCAAAACGACGGGAAAAGGGCCGGAAAAAAGCACGAAAAGCAAAACGACGGAAAAACACCCTAAATCAATTTTCCTTTCGTGTGTATACCAGAGCACTGGAGAACGGTAGAAAATTCGAAAGACAAGCAATGCATAGTAGCCGACGTACCCAATTCGACGATCCATGACAGAATACAGTGCCTTAAAACCGAGGTCAATTTGCGGTCCCCGAATGAAATTCACGCCAAACGGGCTTGTTGCTGAATGAAGTCGGCAACATGACCGCCGCCAAATAGACCTCAGGTGGTGGTATTAAGGGGAGATGCAACAGGCAAACAATATGGCGCCAGGGCTTGGTAGAAGTTGTGGAGAATGAGCGAACAACTATCATCAGTCAAATGAAATTCGTCCGCATGAAATAACGCCGCGGACGACCACTGGATCTGGGGGTGCCAAATAACACCCCCTTTAGCGTTTCGAAATAATGAATGAACGTACGCGTTCAGCGAACGTCGCGTACGCTCGAGGGAACTCTGCTTTAGGGCGTGAGGATAAGTGTGGCGGGGCAGTAACTAGGAATAAAAAATGACAGTATGCGGCAGTGCTACTCTGGTCAAATTGATGCAC